AAGCTGATCGCTAGTTATCACGAGCTTCATATTAGAAAACGCTACGCTTTAAAATAGCACAAAGACAAAAGCTCTTCGGAGAAGAGCAGCACCTCCTCAGTTGGATTGGCTAAGAGAATTAGCAAATCGTTTTGGCTACAGATTAGAGTCGTGCGTTTAAATATAACGGAAACCAATTGTAACGGTATGTCGTTTTCAATGTTATGGTCAAATGTTTAGCTTTGCAATTATGTTTTAAAAATGATTTCGGACAAGTGACCGCCACAGATGGCCGGGAGGCCGCATTTCCTATCACCGCAACTACAGCTGAATATTTTCTTCCAACGACTCAATCGTCTCGGGTTTGAGTTCATTCACCTAACGTGCAACGCGCTTGCTGGCCGTTCGGCTTCAATCCTAGCATTATTTGGGTTCTGTAAACCCGCAAACTAAGATCCTTTGCAAAATTTTCCATAAAGGAGATGGGCACTCCTCAAATTGTTGCACGCGGTAACTAATTAAGAACTTATTCGGGTCATCTTGGATACCCCGCTTAACAGTAGCAATGACGTTTTCAGTGCGCACTGTCTGGCGTCTGTAAGGATGTGCATTATCTACTAGAGGAAATGACTTTGCTTGACGACTATGTCCATCAAATATTGGACTCCGCGCGTCGAGCGATTCGAACCAATAGTTTCTGGTAATAAAATTGCATGATTTGTCATTCTTTTCGTTTTCTCTCTCTTTCTTTCGTTAGCAACAAAGTTCAATCATCCCAAAGTCCTTTTTTTTCTTTTTTACTCGCAAACTTATTAGTTTAGGACAGTCTGATCGCGTAAAGTTTCGGTTGAATCAGACATGGCCCGCCTCCACTCTGAGAAAATTATGGCGAGGATTTTCTCACAAACCTTTTCAGAAGCAACCACAAATCGTTTTATTTGCTTATTATTACGAAACTCTCATCAATCTCTTCTTTAATGCTTAGTTGAGAGATCCCTCATGGCTCAGAAATTCTATCCAAAAACATGTATCTTTTGAAGAATTCTTAAAATAAATTTGCTTGAAATAATTTCGAATCCTTAAAGTTCAAGCTGTACAAAGTTCCCTTCCTTTCGTCTTTCATATCAACATAATTCTAAATCACGCAAATCGCACAACACTTACACACTCACACATACAGCAGTGCCCATAAGCCTCTTTAAAAGGGAAAACTTAAATGAACATTGATGAAAGAAAATACTTTGGTTGCTCAGCCAGTCACTCACTCAGTCAGTCTGTCACCCGGTCAGACATACAGCAGAGCATCAAAAACATACAAGTCTACATACATATATTATATATAACATACTCCTCTATGTGTGTATGTAAATAATTGCATTTGTATGAGTGCATCTTTTATAAAATGTCAAGGAACCCAGAGGAGCATAATAAAGCATTTGAAAGCGCAACACATTGACAAAACAAGCTTTTCATGGTGGCGGATAAACAAAAAATGTGGGTAAATGTGCACAAATATAAGTATACAAATAGTATACAAATAGTATACATATGTACATATACCAAACATGAGGAAGGTATACTAGACGCAAAAAATCTAGTTGTGAATATTGGGATATTTTGAAGATGAAATCATACCAGTTGGTAATTTGTCTAGCCGTTCACCACACTCCCCACCAGTAAAGAGTATATTAACAAAATCTCACCACGCTACCAGCAAAATTCATTTCATTTTTGGTGAAGTAGAAACTCAACATGCCCAAATGAACTGGTATGCAGCAGAGCATCAACTAGTATTAAGCTGGTTCATAACCGGACAATTGACAGTTCGTAGGACACCAAACAGTTAACAGCTAGTTTTTCCTGCGTGGCACATGTACGTATGACACGTGTGTATGTATGCTCTTATACAAATATATTTAAATTTACTTATAATGGCGACAAAGCTAAGCAATCTTTTCTGCCGTTGACAAAGTAGAATGTGCGAACTGTTTAGCTTTTCATACACTCGATGAAAAGGAAAGCAACAAAAGGTAAACACGTAGATATGAGGATGTGTACACGCTTGGAGGTGTATTGGTGTTATTAATTCGAGGAAGCACCTAAAAAGCGGATGGAAACCCATAAAGTAATAAATATTGTTGGCGCTGAAACTACTTTATGTAAACCGAGCTTATTGTATTTACTTATGGTCAAGTTTGGCAGCACTGTTTGTTAGCTGTCAAACCTGACATGGTAGCTTCTTCCCTTCTATTAAATGTTCTAAAACGAATCGGACGTGTTTTTTTATTTATCCGCATCAATCCGCTTTTTTACCCGCTTCTTTATTCGCTATCGCAAATAAACGCTAACAAATATATTTCCCCAATTTTTTGACATGAATGGCGAACTAGTTCGCCATGAACTAGTTGTCGAACTCATATAGTAGTTATTAGTTTGGAATCCACATTGCTGGCAACTACTTTTTGATTTGGTTAGTAATCACATTTGGTGTAAATAACTGCTTAACCGTTAAAAAGAAGCCGTGTGGCTGTAGGCTCAAAAGCCAGACTTGAATTTTATGCCGCACCTCAATTTAAGTAGATTAATATACTTCTCCAAAGCGCCAATTATAAATACACTTATGTCTATATATTCTTCTCCAGCTACCTGAAAGGCAGTGAAAACGCTGAGCGCATTCACGACAGTGATAAGTTCGGGGCTGTAGATAATTTGGTCTATCTCGGTGCGAAATTCAACACCAATCATGCTCTCAGCCTGGAAATCCAAAGCAGAATCACTCTTGCTAACAGACGCTGCTTTGGACTGAGAAGGCAATGGTTGAACTCTCGACGAACCAAAATCAAACTATACTCAAGCTTGAACAATGTCGACATCAGAAGAATCAGCCTTGACAACGGCTGACATTGATTTAGTTTAGTGAATGGCACGAGAGCGACTATGTTGGCTAGGAAATTTCGCCCGAATGGACGAAAATACTTCAGCTTTGAAAGTATTAGAAGCAATACCCGATAGTGGAAACAAAAGAAGAAGAGCTCCTCCTTCCTATCATATAAAGCTTTAAGTGTCTACAAATTCCGTAACTGAATTATCGCGAATTTTGTATTCTTCTAAAAAATGGAAATTGGTGTGAACTTCTTCCGATTTCAAACACTTGCGATAGCGTTCGTACTTGTGAACCAATCGTTATCTGTACTTGAGTTATTGTGTATACGGACGAACGGCCGAAAAGACTGACGTGGCTAAATCAATGCGCCTCGTCACACAGCCGTTAGCCGACCAAGCGTCTATGCACATACATAGTACAGAAGGGCATAAACTGAAAACTGTTATGATTATATCAACATTTTTAAAAATTCCATAAATTAACTTCACATCCAACACATTTGACAGTTGCAGTAACAGCCCCATACAACAGCAACAAAACCACATAAGATGCCGTCTCAAGTATGCTACTCTCTCATCAATATACCCATTCACAGCTCAAGAGCTCAAAGAACACTCGAGTGCTTCTTAGCTAGCCCTTACCCTTCTTCTTCTTCATCTTCATCTTCATCTTCTTCTTCTTCTTTTTACACACCTGCTGAGCAAAGACGTAAAATAAAAACACATAAATTATTCAAATAGCATTATCTAAATGCGGCGCAAAGATTATGAGATGAACTTTGAAAAGGGAAAAATAACAATGATCACGAATGAAAATCACATATGTATGTGTGTGTGTGTGTATGGGTACAAAAGCGTGCAAAGAACCACAATAGCTGCATTTTTTCTTTTTCTTCGTCAAAAACCACAAAATTTCATTGCACACTTTTTACACACAAACAGACAGCTGTAAGAAAAGCTAATATGTAAGTTTGCATTTATCATAATTAACATATGCACATACACGTATGCACATACATATGCACGCACCATTTTACTCACTTACGTTGCATCGCATCGAGTGTGCTTGAGATAATTTTTAAAGTAAAAGTTTCAAATGCGATTTAATAAGAGGCTTTCGCCTTCGTGAAAATATGTATGTAATTTTAATATTGATGTGTGCACATATGTACATATGTCCAAACATTCATATACCCATATAGATGTTTATACAAATGCACAATGGCGGCAACTCATACGCATATATTTACACGAGAGATTCTCTAGAGCATACAAAAGCATTGGCAACTTTTCCATTGAGTTCATGTACACAAAAGCCGAAAGGATGAAAAATCTGCAAATATCCCGTATGCGAGTATATGTATTTAGACATTGGTGCTACTATGCAGCACAAGTCGCACTAACGGATAGTGCATTCCCAATAAAAACGCCAGCGCGGGACAACGGCGTGAAGAATTCGGGACCATCTCGTGATAGTGAGTTTCTTATCAGAAAAAGCTCAAGAAAATCAGTCTCTTGAAATGTTTTTCTCTTCTAAATTATTTCCTCTAAAATCAATATTAATACTCCATTCACGTTGGAGAGCTGACTCACTCAAGGACTCGAACCTCTTATAGCGAAGAATCATGTCGATAGCTGCAGCAGAAAGTGGAGTTGTTTCTAGTTTTTAGAGAAATTGAATTTGACCTAAGGTTAGATTTGTTATGGAAAATTGATTTGTTAGCCTCTTTTGATGAGAATATTTTTATTATTATCCTCATTTGATGGGCGAAAGTTGAAAGAAACACCTCTCGTACCGAGAAGGCTGTTAAATATTCTCTGACGAACTCTGTGTGGAGATCTGTCGCCGATTAGTGTAGAGCTTTGAACAGAAGGCCGATCGTTTTCTTTTGGTGAAAAAGATGTGTCAATAAAGTCTCCGAATCCCGAATGAATTTCATGGCTAAGCCGAAAACATTTTAGCCGATCTTAGAATATTAATAAATTCTTTCATAACTTAACTTAAGTATTGCCTACATTTAGGAGTAAAATATTAAGAAAATAAATTTTAAGTCTACATATAGGCGCAGCTAAATTACTATCATAAAGCACACATGCCAATGCTTTTTGTTTTCCAACCTCATTCCCGGTTCACTTACCTCGAGCTCAACAATTGTTCTGCCTCATCGGCGGTCATAGCATCGGGCAGACTATCTTCGCGCGGTATTGCCACCTCTTCCACCGCCACCGTGGTTATCATCAACTTATCCTCCTCATCTTCCTCAGCAACTGTGGCTAGTGGTGCCTCACAAGCATCCACCTGCACATCGTCGTCATCGTCCTCCTCTATGGCGCGCATCAAATCATCCTCATCCTCACCAGCACTGCTATCCGCATATTCCAAGTCTTGCAAATCCAGAGCACAATACTCGGCATCACCATCAACACCACCCGCAGTAGCTGCGGTTATTGCTGCTGTCACAGCTGTAGAGCAAGCGCTCGTCAGTGGCGGCGGACGCTCAGGCAATGCTGGCAGTTCGGAGCTATCAAATTCCTCCTGCGTATCGAGGGAAGCAATGGGTGCCACCCCTTTGCCGCTGGTGTTGGCCACTGCCGCGATAGCAATGGAAGAGATCGAACGTGTATTGCTGGTCGAGTTCGTTGTTGCTGTACCACTACAACTACCACCACTGCCGCTGCCAATCGACGTTGGCGACATGGGTGGTGTGGATTTGACGCTCACATCGGAGCTGCGCCGTCGTATGGGCGACACTACACCGACGGGTGGTGAAGAGATCGTTGCACTTTTGACCGGCGAACCACCACTGCCAATAGATTTAGTTGGCGATTGCAAGACACCGCTTACCCTTTCGCGTTCCTTAGCCAACTTGCCACCTGGATAGTAGAGTTCAACGGCGGTGGTGACTTCCGTTTTTATTGTGGCATACACTGTGGTAGTCTCTTGTGCAAATCCATTAGCATGGAATTTCTTATGCATTTCAGTCACTTTGGCTGTGTCGTAGAGTTCGGATTCGCCGAAAACTTCATGTGATTCACTACCGTCTGGATTGAGACGATAGCCCACATCGACATAATTTAAACTGGGTTTCTCTATCTGCTCCGCCGTTGGCATGCTCCGGCTGCGGTCACATTCATCCACATCGGCCGCGGCACCCACAGCGCCGACGCCACTGCTAACATTACGACCATTGGGCACCTCAAAGTCGTAGGCGGGCTTGAGTTTGGCTTTGATCTCCGGCGAGGGTTCATTGAAGCCACCCTCGTCCAGACTTGTGCTTGTTGAAATGATGCTGGTTGGTCGTGAGCCCAAGCCGGCGGCTGGTAATTGTACGGAGATACTTGATGAGATACGCTTCGATGAGGCGGACGAGGCAACGGATGATGTACGCTGCGGTGACATAATGTGGGAATGATTTTGCGCTTGAATTTGAGATTGATTTTGGGTTAATGGTACGTCGGTAACATCCTGACGTTCGATTTTGCTGGAGCGTCCTGGAATCGTAAGATAAATAAATACGTGGTAAGTAATCTGAATAAAGTAGTAATAAGCAACGAAACTCATATATAAAATTTGTCGGAAAAAGAAAAAAATGGTCTACTGAGGTTATGGGAAATAATATCTTAGGTCGTCATGGCCGACTGCATCATTAATCTAGAAAATGTATAATAATAAATAGAATCGATCTAAACAAAAAGAGGTGGACGAAGATTCTATACACACAACATCAATCGAGGATAAAAGTGCCTCAGGCTCCCTCCCTTACCATTTTCTTTTTACTTGAAAAAACTGCAAAAATTTGCCTGATATAAAGATCCTAAATGTGGGTTTCAAGCAAAAAATAATCCGGTCGGTAATAACTTCATTCATAAATTACCGAAACAAGATTTATACGACTGCGGGATCACTATATGTATATGGATACTGTGTTATGTATGGCTACTGATCCCATCATCTTGTCTTACCCACTCAAGTGTCTCCCCTCCCAACAAAAGCACTCTTAAATCTTCAATTCCATTTCATTTATTAAACGCACATTTTGTTTTATTCTTCACAAACTTAAAACTGTGTCAAACCGTAAATAAAACAAAGCAAACCCAAAAACATAGTCAGCATAATGAATGAGCCTCAGATGAAGCCCCCTTATCGATCGTAGGTGAACACTCGCTTGGCATTCACTTCAGGCGGTGAGCCTTCATTCAACAACTTCACCAAATCATTTTGTAAATTCAACAGTAAATAGGAACGCAGTGACTTTCGAGCTTGAAGTTTCGAGATCTCAGCGGCCACTTTCGAATAGCCCATAATGAACTTCTTGTAGCGCGCCAACTCATATTCGAGGTAGTCATTATTGCCCGGTGTCTGATCGCCACGCAACTCAGATGCAATCGCGTCCAGTAAAACCGTTATGCGTTCATATACTAATTGCGGATCGCCGAGCACATTATCTTGATGGGCCGAGCAGCAAGCGTCTGCTTCGTATTTATCACTTTCCTGGTACAACGCAGACGATGTTCCGGCAGAGGTGATGGCACAACTTGTGTCCGCATCCTTCGTAAAGAATTTACCACTCAAACTGCCATCCATGCAGGCGGGCACATTCATATATTGTGTCATGTAGCCGCAAATACGATCGAACGGTGATTTGCCTGAGTCACAATCACGCTTATCCTCCTGCTTGTCACAACACACAAATGCACATTCACACGGTGTGCTCGTACTTTGAGTAGTAAGACAAGCTTTATGTGACGCTGGCGCACTGGGCGGTGGACGTGGGCAAGTTAAACGAGGCTTCTCGGTACTCTGGAAATCACTTGGGTCTAGAGTGGGACCCGGTTTGGGCATCGAAACGAATGGTCCTGTGAGTTTGCCGTAGTTCAGGCAGGCGACAAGATGGCTCATGTACACATTACGCAATCGCAGATCTTCAATTGTTTCGAAACCGCTCATGGAGAGCTTATCTAGCCAAGCGCGTGCCAATTTGTATTCCCGCGAACGGCAATCGAAAACATCTTCGGGTTGTTTTAAAATATCTTGAAAAAATATAAAGTTTTCTGTTAACTGATAGTCGATACTCTCCTCGGCGGCCATGATATACGCAGAATTTTGATGGAGAATTAAATTTTGAGCTATTGAATTGAATTTCTGTTTGTATGTGTACACAAAAGTAAGTGTCAAAATTGATTTTCTAAAAAATTGTTTATCTGCCAAATATTTTGTTTTTTTTTGTTTTCAATGGAATATTTCCTTTTGCTTTTATTTGACGCTTGAGAACGAAATGTTTAATTTGACTTGATGAGCGATTTTGAAATATAACAGAATATCAAATAAGGCTCATCCATTTTGCGGTTTCAAAAATAAATTCATTAAATTCCTTTTGCATCATAAAATTTTAATCTTGGCATTAATGTGAAATCCTCCATCGTTCAAAGGACGACGCGAGAATTTTCGCAAACTTCGATCTGTTTGAGGCAATATTCCACCAGTTTTTCTTCAATTGGAGGCCAAAAAAAATATATATTCCATTGTGGCTCCGAATTGACAGTGACAGTCTCGCTCTTGCCGTTTCAGACCACCTCACCAGGTACTACTTTTCTTTAGGTACAATGGCCTCTCTTCATTTATTTGAAGATACTCGCAATTCCAAATGCAACAAACTTTCTTATTTACATATTTCCCAAGTGAGTAATGCGCTTCACCTCTGAAGGAAAATTTGTTCGAAAAATCGCCACTGCTTGTTGTTAAAGCAACCAATCGTCGTATTTAAGGATACAGTTGGAAAGTTAGCTGGACTTTATGTGGAGGTAGGTTTAAGTCCAAGTGAAAAATATGTAAGAATGTCCCAGCTCCTGAGACCACATTCGGGTTTTGGAAAAGAGCAAAACGATGATGCACGCGCCTTGCGACATCTGTAACCGATCCTTGCTTCAGCAGTTGGACGATTAGGTGCACCACCATCTCCTCTTAAAGTATGAAATGTGGCCACGTTTGTGATAGAATTTAACGGTTTTAGTGTGCTGTGTTGTAGTTAAACGATCCATGTTCATAAATGCCTGAATTTCAAATTATTTAATTAATAAATAATTCTGCTAGTCTTGCACAACAACAGCAAACCAATACGTTAAAAGCTGTTTGCAATAAGAAAAAAATCAAAAATTTGCATATTTCAAACACTTTGGAATGCACGCAAAATGGAATGATTAAAATTTTTCGAATGTTTCTCTGCTAAAAATAATTTTATAGAATTACTAAAATTTACTAAATTTTCAGTTGCTGCTAAAATTAAAGCACAATGAATGTGTGTGTAGTGGACGGTGGGAAGTTCACAGACTGTCGTGGCGAATAGCAAAGAAATTTGTGAAAATTCCGAGGCAAAAATTTTTAGTCTTCTAGTCTGCGCCACTTAGTTTTCGCAAAATTTCACAAAACTTGCAATCATCTGAGCGAAAACTGGAAGCAAAATGCTTTCGAAATACTTATGTGGACAGAGATTTTTATGCTAAACTGTTGCTAAACGCAAATAGGCAATGGCGAAGGTAGAGGGCAGTGAAACGGACAGGCCGGTCGCGGCGTGAAATTCTTTAGCAACGTGACAAAATGAAGAACAGCGCGCTAAAGAGCGGTTTATTTATAGCTTTATAATGCGCGTGATTGTCTGTGCGTCTGTATGTGTGTTTGCGTGAGGCAAACAATTAAAGAATAGGCGCGGCATTTCACTGAAGATAGAGAAAGTGTTGCCGAAGAAACAAAGAGAAAAATCAACTAGAACGTTTGTAAACAAATAAAGTACATTAAAAATAATAAAAACTATAAAAAGATAATAATTATAAAAATATTAAAGATAATAATAATTAAAAATATTTATAATAATAATAAATAAAAAAAAACAAACAACTTAATTTAAATGGGAAATTCATTAGTAAAACATACTAAATAAAACATTAAATATACATATACTCGTATATTATTAAAAACGAAAGGAAACTTTTTGATTCCTTTAACATGAAATACAAACCTCTGCAGGTGTTACAGAAATTCCTTAAACTCAAACACATGTTGAACACTCTGTATTTGAAGCCCTTCTTTCGATCGGCTTTAGCTGTTGCACTCTCTATGGGTGTCTCTTCCTTTTTCAGTTGGATCACTTTGTAAATTACGCAAATTTTTCTTTCCTCACATTTCATGCTTCGTGTTCAATTTATTTTTATATTGTTCATTAATAAGCATAAATTATATTTTTCTTAATTTTCGATTTACTTTACTTTTCTATATTAGATTAAGAGAGCATTAAAAAATGCAAAAAAGTTGGAAAACTAACGGTTATTTAAACTAACGGAAATAAAAATCCAGATTTATTCAAAAAGGTAAGCCACAATTTGTTCAAAATTTTACTTGTGTGTGTGTGTGTGTGATTGCAACATTTTTTAATCAGCAACATCTGGTTCTCTGTTCTCGCGTTTCCCTCATTTCATATTCAGAATTTGTTTGTTTTAAATATTTTGGATTTTCAGGATTTTTTTTTTTCTTTTTTTTAATAATTGAATTCTGACAAATATTTCTTTCTTAGCGAAATTAAACGCGCCAAAAAGTATGCACTCATTGCGAAGGAGGTGGAAGAAGGAAGTCAGACTTTGTCAATGATTAAGAGTGAAACTCACGTTGAAATATTTATTTTTAAAAACACTAAGTGATGTCCCATATGAACATATAAAGGCCACTTTATCACATGGAGAACATCAAAGAATTTTAAAACATAACTGTAATATAATTTTAGATGAAAAAATGAGTTCCTTTTTTCAGTGAAAATCCACGAGGCTTGAGGCTTGAGGCTTGAGAACTTCCATTTAAATGCAACCATCACTTATTAATTTGATTAAATCATTTTGCAAATTAATTAACAAAAACGAACGCAGCGCCGGCTGCGACTTCAAATTATTCAGAACACAAGCGATGCTCGAGAAATTCATGATGAAATTCTTATAACGCAATAACTCACTTTCCAAATACTTATTGCAGCCACTCTCGACGTAACCGCTCAACTCTCCCTGGATAGCCTCCAGTAGGGCGGCCACATCCTGCCGCAGGGACTCCTTCGCATGTGCATAGGGATCGTAATTCTCACACAAATCGCACGGTCCACTGTTACGGTGGGACGCAAATGAATTATATGCACTCGGCGATGTAATTTCACGAAGCATATAATTGCTAAAAACATTGGCCGACGAACGTTTCGTACTACTACCATTCGTACTATCCGGTTCGCATTTTATATTCGGACCAAATCGTACCTCGGGTGGACAACGCATGACTTCACAATTAGCGCTACCGCCTACATTGATGGCATTACTAAAGCAACTGCCCAATTGTTGTTGTTCGCAATTATCTGAAAAGCGAATGGATTTCGAATCCTCACATACCGAGTGTCTTCTTTCTAAAGCGAGTAAAGTTTTTTTTTATAAGGAGCAAAATAATTCTCAATCCTGGATATACCTTTGCACACAACGGGACAAGAGAGTGCCTGCTTCTTCGTGGCGTTAAAGTTCGTCATTTGCAAGCGTCCATTATTCGGCTGATTTGCGAAAGGTCCTTTCAAAACACCCTCTATGAGGCAGCAGCACAAATAGCTCATGTAAATGTTACGCAATCGTCGCTCTTCCAAGTCGGCGCACTCATAACGGCACAGCTTGTCCAACCAATTTTGTGCCAAGCAGCTTTCGTCTGAGTTGGGTCTGAAGACTTGATTGGGATCACGGCAAAGATCGAGAAAAAGCAGGAAATCCTCCGTGAGCAGAAAATCAAAATCTATACCGTTATTGCTGAATGCCATTTAAATTTATTAATTTTACAGTTTTCCCTCACAAACAATTTGGAACCAAACACAATACAAATTTTGCAATAAAAATATTCGAAAACTTAAAAATAATTTTGTCACATTCACAAAGAAAACAAAAATTGAGAAGATTTTATTTTAGAATTAAAAGAGAAACATGAAAAATTATTGACGGAATTGTAAAACACGAAGTTCGAAATAATTTCCCTACCAAAAAATAAAGGGTGATTTGTTAGACACGTGGTTTTCAATGAGACAATCATTTTTTCGGTTGGCGCTGCATCCAATATTCGGTCGATATAATCGGGAAAATGAGTAGGTAATTCTAACGGTTGCGAACGTTGTTAGTCTAGTGGCGTTCAGGGCCCATCGAACCGCAATTGCTGCTGTGAAGCAGAGTATCCAAGAAGACCCGAATGAATTCATTCGCACTGCGAGCAATAATTGAAGCTGTGCCTTTTATGACAGATTTAGGGGAAGAATCTTGGTTTATGGATTATAAAATCCAGCTCGCGCCAGTACTGAAGCCGAACCGACCGACCATCACGCCCAACACACGTTCGGTAGATAACCGCTATCCCGATTTTCACAAAAAACCTCCTAATTTTTAAAATATTCAGAAAAAATTGGTAAATGAAAACGTGGAGACGGAAGAGGAGAAAAAATGGAAAACATATATGAAGGGAAAAGAAAGGGCGCAATAAAGAAAAGGAGCTTACGAGATGAAGAGAGGGAGTGGAGGAGTAGTGGATACATTATGGAGAGAATAACTCCTCAAAATCTCTTCTCCAATACTCATTCCGTTAACTCTTTTACTCTTTCCTCATCTACATTCTCTTACTTTCATACAATTATTTTCACCGATTTTTTTCCATACCACCAATAGGTGTATTCCACACCAAACCCAATTACACTAAACACTATACCGAAACACCACAACCAGAATGCGCCCTGCAGTATATCCAAGTTCAAAACTATCCTCTTCTTCTTCCGGTCCGCACCAACTCCTTCGTTGTCAGTGAACTCGGTCAAATCAAAATCCGTATCGGACGGCAAGTCTTCATAGAACTCCTCCACCTCGTGGGATGTAGTGCCGCCGGTGTAGTATAAATCTTTAATGCTCCAATGCTCCAGAAGGCCACTCTCAAATATCCTCGCCTGATACTGTTGAAACTTATAGCGAAAGGGCGAGCCCTTCTGCAAAATATACTCCTGCGGCATCGAACGGAGATATTCTTTGACGACGTGAAAACGCGGGCGGCGCCGCTCTACATCGTAAGTTTTTATTAGAAAATCTTTTGCGGTCTCGCCACGCAGCACGAACGCTGCGCGCCAATCCCTACGCACGCTCACCGGCACAGCGAAGAGGAAGGATGAAAAGTACAAGGGCAGTGAAACAGCACGCTTTTCAATCTCACCCCAGTGCGCCACACTTAGAGCCGACTGTACTGTTGTGAAGAGCGAGTGCACGCCAAAGATGGGCACATCCAACTTATGCAGCTCGTCGAGAGAATCCAACTCCGCTTCATATTCCGGATGTACGAAACTGCTCTCCAGCTTGCCAAAGTATATTGTGGTCAGAATATAGCTAAAGCAGATCCAAGCGATGAGGTATTGGCGCAGCGAACTTATGCGCGAGAAGCCTGCAACCGGCTCGCCCAGGTGAGTCTTGACAAACATCTCAAAGACCTCATACCAACGGCCATGCTTCATTTTCACCGCATGTGGCAAGCGTTCTGCCCAGCGATTGAGGAGGACAAAGATTGCGGTGACCGCAAAGAAATTCAACGACAGCAGAAGCCAAAGCGTGCATGTGAAAGCTTTGATAAAAATCAAATATTCGGGTTGCATTTTTGCTGCGGGCACAACCAAATAGAGTTTGCGTTTAAAGTACGGATAGAGCATCTCTACATGTGCTGCTGCACAGGGCAGTGTGAAGCGAGCATTGAAGCTGACATCCGCCGTGCCGCTGATCAAATCGCGTAGGACGCCTGTGAACGAGCCATTTGGCAGGCAAGAGCCATAATTTTCATTATCAGCAGGTTGTGTGTAATTCGCGGTCGCATTGAGATATGCCGCAACATTGCCCGCGAACAAACCGTCGACGCCTGTGTAGCCAAGCTCGGCGCGCGACATCGGTATTGCACGCAAGAAATCCTTGAACATTGTGATGCGCAGCTGTTGTTTATGAAGATTCCTCAATTTATCGTAGAAATATCGATTATCCGTAATGCGTTTTATGATGAAACCCGGCTCTGCGTACGGTTCAAAAGTGTAAATGTGTCGCTCGCCAGTTATGACAATCGCATTGAGTATTTTGCGCTGCCACACAGCGGAGAGCAGTTCGCGTAGCTGCTCAAGTGATGCATCACGCCAAAGGAAGATGTATTTGTGGACATGTTTTCGCTTCTGTTTCTCGTTCATAATATTCGTGATGCGTCGCACGTATGCCGTGGACTCCTCCGGCCTCGCAGATAGTACAAAGAGGCTGAAACTGTTATACGTATGTTCGCGCTCTTTCGTTACGCTCCTTAACTCCATTATGTGGGTTGGCAATGTAGCCATACATTTTAGTAAATTTATTTCCAATGCGAATGCTGAGTTATTCCGCTCCACCCCCGTGTAGATGATGTAGACATAGGAGTCATGTGCGGCAGCGATTTGACAGGCTTTCTGTGGCAGCAGCGCGTTTGTGGCTTCAGTTTGTATACCCGCAGTCCAATATCCGAAAGCCAACGAGTTTATTCGGTAGTTGAAAAGTATGATGACTACTTTGAGGTAAAGCATTTTTGTAACTGATAAGAAAATTCTTTTCCGCCATCACGCATTCACGTAAATGAACTTACACAGTTTCTATAGTGGGACAGTTTGTTAGTTATGTAAACACATAAATCGATTTATGTACTTCTGGAGCCCGCATGTATGTCACGAAAATTAAAAAGCAAAAGTATTCCCGACGGCATAATATACTTTAATTAGTTCATGGGGTGATGCTTGAAGAGAGGGTAATATTTTCCGCGGACTTCATGAATTTTACATTTTTATGCTTTCCTAATTGTTATCTTGGTTTAGCTTATTTTGATCAATAACACTTACAGGCACATAAATGAAATAACAGTGGACATGCTCTTCGACCCGCTGAATCAAAATGTTTAATTGCGAAAACCGTTACAATTATTAAATTTGAATGTTTTGGTACTAAAAAACATTGCGTAGATCTAAAGTAACCAGAAGTTTTATATATTTTAGTCCATTGAATACTAATATAAGCTGTTCTTAAAGCATAATCAGTTTTTCTTGAATTTAAATGTAACTTTTTGGACTTTTCGCCAGTTGACTGAATGTTGCTTATACGACAAGGCGAACCATTTTTATTCGTATGCCAAGAATTATTACACCGCTGATTCCGAATTTCTTATTCATTTTTTTTTTTTTTTACTTTTATTACCATTTTTATTATGTGTTTATTTTCTTTTTTATTAATTTTTCTTAATTTTTTTTAATTCTATTTATTTCTTTTTAATTTTATTCATTTTCTTTTTTTTTATTTTAATTTTTTTATTTTCATTTTTTTCTTTTCATTTTTTTATTTTCATTTTTTTTATTTTCATTTATTTATTTTAATTTTTTTATTTTCATTTTTTAATTTTAATTTTTTTATTTTCATTTTTTTATTTTCTTTTTTTTTAATAGAGTTTTGTTTTTATTTTATTTCACTCTATTTTGATTTTTATATTTTTTTTATTTTTTTTTATTGTGTTTTTTTATATTTTATTGTGTTTTTTAATTTTATTGTTTTTTTTGTGTTTTTTTATTTTTTTTGTTTTTTTNCTGTTTTTTTTATTTTATTTTTTTTTTTTTTAAATTAGTTTTTACTTTTTTTTTTATTTCATTTTGTTTTTTTTTTATGTTAATTAAATTTGTTTTACATTTATTTCATTTTTTAATTAAATTTTATACATATTTTAATGCATAATTGCTATTTGTACTAAAATTGAGGTATGTAATTTTTTTAGGATCTGAATGGCGCGATCAAAATAAGCAACAATTGTGTATATCCATTTTACTAGGGTGCATTGCAGAATATTTTATTTTTTATATTATTATGACCAATATTTCTGTATTTTTTTTTTATTGACGGAATTTCCACCGCATAATTGCAAATAAGAAATAAAACTATAATAAATTGCTGGCCCTTTCTCTTGCTAAAAAGCCATTTAATTGTTTATTTTTCTATTGGCTTTGTTAATTACAAACAACACTCAAGTCTCTCGACGGCCAGAAAATGTTCAAAGGATATTATAAAAATCTTCGTTTTAATGGCGAAAATGCTTTGTCCGCGTACAGTTCGAATCCTTGTCCTGGTAATAGCCAAAGTGCACTTTTTGAAAGCAGTAACATGTGAGCATTTTAATCTGCCAGAGCCAAAACACTACGAAGATTTGAGTCAGAAGGTGTGCGAAATCGCTGAGCAAGTGGACGCGCACGTCAATTTAATCTACAGCAGCCATGGAAATGCGAAAGATGATAATTTACATGACTTGGGAGAAGAACTGCTTCACTGTATGTCTCGGTTGCCCAGTTACAAGCTGCAATTTGAGGAGTTCAAATTGGAACTGTATCGGAATTACAGCACTTTGAGCGTCTTCACTCTCGCTGGAAGCGATAGCACTCACCTAAGGAGGATTATCCACATGCTCAATACGAAACAACCATACAAAGAGTTACAAAAATACATTTTCGTATGGCGAAACGCACGCGAACAAGATATGCAGCAGCTTTTCAAAGCGATTTGGGATAAACAGATTCTGAATGCCATTGTTGTGAAAGGCGCCAACTCAGTTTACACCTTCGAACCATTCACCACTACCGGATTCCTTGTTAGGCAGTGGCTGGCAGGCGAACCTTACTTTTATGATAAATTAAAAAATCTGCATCACTTTCAGCTACGCATCTCGATGTTCAAGGACTTCTTACGCGCCATACCGAAATCGTCGTCCCAATTGGGCTACACGGGCGTTGATGGGTTAATGGCGAGCAGCATTGTGTCACAGCTAAATGCAACCGTGCAGTATGTGATGCCTGAGGACAATGAAAACTACGGCGCTTGTCTGGAAAATGGCAGTTACACGGGCGTGCTGCGCGATTTGCTCGGTGGCAGAACGCACGTCAACTTCAATGCTCAGTTCGTGCTACCCTGCGTGGCCGAACGCATTGAAACACTCTATCCGTACTTCAAACGCATACTGTATGTGGTGGTGCCGGCGGCGGAAATGTTTCCCGAATATCTAATATTTGTGTACGCTTATAAGGATTCCGTGTGGCAGATATTTGTGGTTTTTTTCTTTCTTGTCGTTGCCGCATTTGCACTGCTGAAGTGGGCAATCGAGACTTTACGTAACGTTGAGAAAATGAAGGATGGCCGCTGGTACGATTTGATCGAGCTCTTTTGGAAGGTACAACTGGGAGTGCCCATCAATTATTTCTCCAGCACGCACACACTACGCCTATTCCTCATGGCTTGGATACTCTTCAACTACGTCATGACGAGCATTTATTTCGCCAAGGTTGAGAGCATATTCGTGCATGCCTCCTACTATCCGGAAATCGATCGCCTCGATGGTTTGCATGCCCTGGATGTGCCCATATTTGGTGTGCAGAATATTTTCACTGCCGTTAAGCCGGCCTTGAAGCCACAACATTGGCGCGCCATTGAACGACATGCTGTACATTTACCACAACAGTTCTCCTCCTTCCAATATGCTGTGCCAATAGCTGTGCGAAAACACTGGCGTGTCGCCTACTTGCTACGAGGCGAAACCGCAAGGGACCTGCTAGCGAAGACGTACGACGCAGAGCGCAGGCGACCAAGATTTCATGTGGTGAAAGAACACATGCTCGCTATGCCGCAGACCTATCTACTGCCGAAGGGTTCTCCGTTTCGATACAAGTTTCAGGAGTTCGAGAGTCGCGTCTTGGAGAGTGGCATATTTGAGTATTGGACTCATAATGCTCCTCATAAACGTGTCAATGGCGCTTCACCCGATTTGGAGGAATTCCGTCATGAATTGCCAAATGATCTCAATTTTGAGGCTCAAGAGATTGATGTGGCAGACGATAAGGAAAAGAAGGTGGTGCTCAACATGCGTATATTGCAAGGCCCATTCTATATGTGGGCGTTTGGTATGGGCATAAGCTTCCTTGGCTTCCTGTTGGAGCATGCTTACTGTTGGTGGCGGAGGCCAAGCGTGTTTGAGCTTTAAAATACCGTAATAAACACAACATTTTGTAAGCAACAAATTTTGCTTCGATAAAAATATTCCAAAACAAGAATTTTAAATCTAGACGTATCACACTTATTTCTAAAATATCCAGAAGAAAACTTAAAGGCAATAAAACGAAAAAAATAGAAATACTACAACGAATAAGAAAATAAACTAATGTCAGTCAAACTGCTTTCGCAACCGAAATTCAGGACGAATAATTTCACTAAAAAAATACTGCCTTTTGCCAAGAGTACTGAAAAAATATATTAAAATTGAAAAAGATATGAGGAAAAAAAATCAATTTATAAACCAACAAAAATGTAGATGAAAGTTAAAAGGTACACATGGAAAGGTAAGACATGCACATTTATGAACATACACGTGTATATATGTATGTATTTATATACACTATCCAATTCAGTATAAACAAATCCATATACCACTAAATAAACAAATAAAATATTTATGCGTGAATCTGTTGTAAAAATTTATTTTTATCCACACATACATACATATACAGATATATGATAGATAAATTAAGTCAAGGTCGGCTATTGAGAATACATATAAACAGCCACTACTACAATAGAATATCCTCATGTTTCTACAAATGTATGGATTCACTAAATGAAAGAGATAATAATCCAAAGGCCACTCTAAATTGCTGATAGCTTCTAAATACAGATGTGTTAATGGAATAAATGGGAGCGCGGAAAATTGTGAAGATGTGCATACATACATACATGCCGACATAGTTGAGGCTACGAGATGTGCGAAAATCAAATTCAAATCCAAATAAAATGAATATATTCTGCTCGCACAAGACACACATACATTCTGTGATTTACGATTTATGGATTCGTGTATGCACACTCATACATATCTATTGGTGGCTGAGGAAACCGAAAGACCCCGGGACGACACGTAGTATTTTAAATGTTATTATTTTAATTTTCCCTCTCCATATTTACAAATGCATTTATGTTACATACATATGTACGTATGTATGTTTTTCTTTTTTGGACTGTCAGCAAATTTTGTTCAATATTCATCCCGAAAGCTTCACAAACTCTGTCGCAGTTGGTACAATAAAGTGAAATTCAATTAGAAGCAACAATTATTTAGACATATTAACACACGCACAGACATAAAGGCCTCCTTAAAAGCATACATGTTGCAGACAGCTCAAAAAATATAATTGTGAAAGTTGTCCTTTGCAAAAGTTATCAATTCATTCAAAGGAAGCTTAAATTTATTTGTGGTCTAAATTAAATTGCCCAACCGGAAACATATTCATATAGAGATTTCAGGAAAAGTTAAGAAGCTAAAAAAAAATTCTTCAACAAAATAGAACAAAAAAAATTAAAAGTGCAATAAATACAAATTTAATAAAACAGAATATAAGAGAATACATATAAAAAAAAATTAAGTGGAACAAAAAAAATAAAAAAAAATGGAAATAATAAAATAAACAAAAAATTAAAAGAAAAAAAATATGTATCAGGTGTACAACTTTGCTTCCGCCGTTTTCCGATAGGTAGCTGTACCGGCTGAGGCTGGTTGAAATACATAGATGATAATGCCTTTAAAGAGAGTGTGGACAGTGCCTAATGAATTGTCATCGCCGTTTAAGTGACAGTTGTTCTTGTTTTTGTATTATTCACGCTCGAAAATGTCCGTTTATGTGCCTAATTCTCGCCATTTGCGGGAAGTTTTACTTTTCTGTTACAATTCGATAAAAAAAATGCAGCTGAAGCGCATCGAATGCTCTCAGAAACTTACGGTGATGCTGCTCTGAGTTAAAGAACGTGTCGGGTGTGGTTTCAACGTTTTAAAAATGGAGATTTCGATGTCGAAGACAAACATGGTGGTGGAAGAGAAAAAACCTTCAAAGATTTACTACGAGCTCTTAAAACCGGGTGAAACCATCACAGGAGATCGCTACCGAGCGCAACCGATGCGCCTTAGTCGCGCGCTAAAAGAAAAACGGCCACAATATCAAAAGCGACATGACAAAGTCATCCTCCAACACGACAATGATAGGCCTCACGTCGCAAAAGTGGTCAAAAAGTACCTGGAAACGCTAAAATGGGAAGTCTTGACCCACCCGCCGTATTCCCCAGATGTCGCCCCTTCTGTCTTCCTATTCCGATCGATGGCACAGA